TTAAATTGTTAAATCATGATATAAAACTGAGTTAATTTTTAATTTGTTAACTTTTAATTTTTTTTTTAATTTTTTAAATCATTATGGCTATGTTAAATCATGACAATAATTAATTTTAAATTGTTTATTTGTATTCAAAAAACTTAAAATATTGCTTTTAAAAATAATTTTAAATTTAACATAATTTTTTAGAAAATTACTTTTAAAAAGTATAATTTTTAAAAAATATAGTTTTCTAATATTATTAGACAAATAAATAAATTATATTAAATTAATTTAGAAACTTTATATATTTTAATTGCAAATATTTTACCAATTGCTTCTTTAAAAACATTAGGGAACTTGCTATACTCTACCAATCAAGCCGAGTGACACTCCATTTATTTTCCATCACTCGAACACTGAAAAGTAAAAAGATATATTAAATCAAATCCATTAAATTCTAAGATTTGATTTACATTTCTAATTAAAGTTGTTTTTGATCATACGTATAGATAATTATATAAAAATTCCAAAATTCTAAAATTTCAAATACATACAAAAACAATCATATGTAAATTTTAAATTTGTGAATATTAAAATTTTATATTTTAATTACATATATTCACCATGCGCTTATCCTAGTGGGTTTGTAAGTTGTAACTCGCAGCTAATTACGCTCTTTCCGAGTTTTTAGATTTTCATCCTCTAATTTTTTCATATATTACAGTTTAGACCCTTAACTTCTGTTTTTTGAAGTAACCACCCTAATTTTTGTTTCCTTCCTCGAAATTGAAGCTGCAGATGCAGAATTGAGAATTGTATTAGGTCTCTCTCTCTCTCTCTCTCCACGTTGCTCTCGAGAAAAAAAACCCAGTATATGTCATTGGATTCCAAGAACCAAAAAGATAAAATCTCCGATCGAAAGTTAGAGTCTTTGCTCTAAACTCACCAGTCTACCTGCTTGCGTCGCCTCCGATCGATTTGGAGCTCCTTATCGGCCACTTTCTCGCGGCTTCTTTGTTCGAAGATCTGATCTTCTACTGATTTGTTGTTTCATCGATGATCCAATGATCTTTCCTGAGGTTTTTTAGGAATCTAATTCACCTTGAAGCTGTACCTAAAGCTCATGGTTTTGGTTTGAGATTTTGAATGGAACGTCTTGGGTTTTGGGGATTATTGATGGGTAGTGTGGAAAAGTCATCAGATTCACGAAAGTTTGTTCCTTTCTCGAAAAATGGAGACGAAGAGAGTGGTGAAACGTTCTTCACTACTACGTCATCGAAGCAAGCTTCACCGTTGAAACGTTCTTTATCAAGAAACACAAGCCCCTCTAGGCAGATAGTGGTGAAGACGAAGCCACGTGGTCTAGAGGAAGAAACAGTAGCTTCTTTCGGTAAACAAGTCGTTGCTGATGTGCCTATGGAGGAGAGTATATGGGCAATGCTTCCAGAGGATCTACTAAACGAGATCTTAGCGAGACTTCCACCGTTTATGATATTTCGAATCCGTTCCGTTTGTAAAAAATGGAACTTGATTCTCCAGGACAATAGTTTCCTCAAGTTTCATTCGAACGTCTCGTCTCACGGACCTTGTCTACTCACGTTTTGGAAGAGCTCTCCTCAGGTTCCGCAGTGCTCGGTGTTTAGCTTGCCGTTGAAGACGTGGTACAAAGTCCCTTTCACGTTTTTGCCTTCGTGGGCGTTTTGGTTGGTTGGTTCTTCAGGTGGTCTCGTTTGCTTCTCGGGGCTTGATGGTTTGACTTTCAGAACTTTGGTGTGTAATCCGTTGATGCAGAGTTGGAGGATTCTTCCGAGTATGCATTATAATCAACAGAGGCAGCTGATTATGGTTGTGGACCGTTCTGAAAAGTCGTTTAAAGTCATTGCAACAAGTGATATTTATGGAGATAAGTCGCTTCCTACTGAAGTTTATGATTCCAAGACTGATAAATGGTCTTTGCATCAGATAATGCCTGCGGTGAACTTATGCTCTTCGAAGATGGCTTATTGTGATTCCCGGTTATATCTAGAAACTCTTTCGCCTCTTGGTTTGATGATGTATAGGCTTGATACAGGGCAGTGGGAACACATTCCAGCTAAGTTTCCGAGATCTTTGTTGGATGGTTACTTAGTCGCTGGGACTCAGAAGAGGTTGTTTCTTGTGGGAAGGATTGGTCTCTACAGTACCTTACAAAGCATGAGGATATGGGAGCTTGATCACGCTAAGGTTTCTTGGGTGGAGATAAGTAGAATGCCACCAAAGTATTTTCGAGCGCTTTTGAGGCTTTCAGCTGAGAGGTTTGAGTGTTTTGGACAAGATAATTTGATCTGCTTTACGTCGTGGAATCAAGGAAAAGGTCTTTTGTATAATGTGGATAAGAAGATTTGGTCTTGGATCTCCGGGTGTGCTCTTCAGTCATGTAACAGCCAAGTTTGTTTTTATGAGCCAAGATTTGATGCTTCTGTCCACTGAACAATAATAGTGACAACTTGGATGCTTAGCTAAAATGGTCAGAGATATTAAGTTGAAGAGCAGTTTGTGTATACCTCCAATGTTGAAGAAGAGTTCATCAGCGATGATATGCTACACCACCAATGATTAACCATTTCGAGGAGAAAAACTGTAAGCTAAACTTGTTTCTAGCTTTATGTATATTAATATCACTGGATAAGAATACTTTCTCTACATATCATTGTCTCATCCTCATGGATTTTTCTTTTCTACATCTTGAATGTAAGCTTCACTTTACAAATAATGACTGTTCAAGAATAACTTTTCTTTTCAGCTAAAACTTTTAGAAAGAAAGGTCTAACATAGATTATGATCTTGAAGATTTTGGAGTTGTTACATACAAATCACATATTTAAAACCTTCTAACTAAAAACTAGAAACCAATGCAATCTGGTAGTGATGGGGAAATCTAGCTTTGTGACACAGTCCTCACAGCTTAGCCAACTCATAGAAACTGATAGGGTGAGAGTATTTGACAGACTTGCTGAATGTATTTTCAGCTATGATTTTGTTGGCAATCTCTGTTGGGTGAAATGCATCCCAAAAGACATAGTGATGCCTATCCAAACACGGTTGCTGCAACGGAAGGCATGTTAACGCTCCCCCATATCTCCCACTACCGCAGCATGCTTTGTCTGGTACAACAAGACCTGCAAAAAAAAAAAGAGGACTAAGACTAAGTTTTTATATTGTTAATCAAGGGTGAAACCCTTACTGAATAGATAGGTTGAGGCCATTTTTTTACCATATTTAGAGGGATTCACAACCATATCATGAAAGAGATCATAGAAGTTTTGATAGATAAAGAAAGATCCTGGAAGAGTTTTGTTGAGAGTGTTTGGTAGATTTTTCAATCTGCTATTGAACATTGAAACCAAATTGTTGATCTTTTTCACACACCCCCTGCTGTTGTTGCCCTTTACCATAGATAACTGACTTGGTATGCAACCTAATGGTCCTGAACCAGCTAACACCATTTTTCTTGCACCTAGGTTGTATAGTCTCTGCAGAAAATAGGTAACAGAACACACGTTTTCTGTTGAGTATGGGATGTAAATATGTATCGTTATTGTGGATTTGTAGAATGAGACAATGGGAGAGTTTTATTTACTGATATTTGAGCAGAGAGAGTCTTGATCAGGAGATTTGCATACTCTTCTCCACTGTAGATTTGGCTGCTTGTGTATCTATCAGACATAAGGTAGTTGTTGATGTAATCATTGCTTCCTATATTGATAGCAATTATCGATTTCGCAAGATACTTTCTAAGATCTGCAGGGTTTTGAAAGAATGGCTGAAGCTTTAACTCGATGGTCATCTCAAACTGTGATATCTGTCCAGTGAGTGTAGTTCTTGCTCCCTGGAAAAAAAAAACAAAGAGTTAAATGTTTCTTGGTTTTCTAGTTTCTAGTTAGAAGAGGTTAATAGTCTTGATTCTTACATAATGTTGACCAGTTTCGTCTAAAATCCCAGCTGCTGCAGATGCATAGTTAAGCCCTTTCAAGACATTTCCCCCTACTGATACAGGAGATAGATATGGTGGCACCAATGGCAAACCTAGGTACATTGCTACATTACAACATTTTACTGAGAAAGTTAGTTAAAAAAAGAAAAGTAAAGCTATATTTTTAGTCTTTAGTTTACCTCCATAATCAACAACAGTGCGGCCATTGCAGAAACGACCAGTGGGAAAGCCAAAATCAATTCCATATGGGAGATAGTTAGCTTTTGCTAGAGTGGGAATGTAATTGTTGTTTCCACTATCAACTAAAGAATCTCCAAAGATGAAGAACGCTGGAGCAAGAGGATGATGATTTCTAGACTGGCCATGGCCATAAACAAGCAAGACAAGCTCTAAGAACACAACACAAAACAACAAACTCTTCATGCTTAATTACTGGTTCATGAGAGAAGCTTGTGACATATATATGGATATAGAGGGAAATATGGTTTATGTGACATATTGAGATAGTTGTTTGGTTCAGAAGAACTGGTCGTGGTAAATGATCTCATGGTGTGTGGTGGTTAACTGTTACAGTTCTATAAGATTTGTTTTTTATTTTCTCATTTACTGCTGCTATAAATTTCTTACTCTGTTCAGCTTCTTTTCTACAGAAACAGCTTTTAGAAAGAGCCAACACCTAAACCTCCTAATTTTGTAAATCTGATTCTTAGTCATTGATGGTTTTGCGCATGTAGAGAAATGTACTTGATGACTTTGTCACTATGTACTTAAATAATGGTTTTTCAGAAATGTGTCTAACCGGTTTATCGTTTACAGATAACCGGATAGCTCTAGTTACCATAATGGGCCTGAGTTCTTTGGTGTATGAAATTCAGTGTCTTATTATTTGGGCCTGAATTCTAAGGCCTGTGAGTGACTGTGTGAATCGTTGATTGTATTTTCCTGATGATCAGGCTTCAAGAGTCCTAAGCAAGAGGGGAATGCAAGCATTAAAGAAGTGAGGTTAATGTCAAACATTTATACTTTATTTATTATCAAACCAGTCAATGTATATATATATATTTTAATTAATAAGCTAAATGTATTTTTCCTTGGTCTAGTGGACCCAGATGAATTTTTTATTTTTCAATTTTTTTTACCTGTCTTTAAAAAAAAAACTTGTGAAAATATTGTAAGAATATCTTATTGACCCTTGTAAAGTATGTTAACTATGAGATTGACCCTCCTAAGTAATCTGTCTGGCTCTGTCACTGACTATTTTCAATGGTTAATTATCTCTAAAGGACTATAACTTATATCAATTAATAAGAAAAAAACAAAGAAAATTAGAACATCAGTATGTTCAGATAAAAACGAAACCTCTAAAATAGTTTACCAACTTCATAAACTAGTTAAATGCCATAAACAATAGTCACCCACTTATTAGTTAATAATGATATCTTGATCAACTTTTGTGTACTTGTTGTGCTGCGAAAGCTATGTGTCTCAGTGGATCCAACAATATTAATTCCATTTAATAAGCACTAAAGGGAGCTGTTGATAAAGAAAACAGAAGCCAGGGCAGACACATATCAAAACGGCTAAAGCATTATACTAGTATAACTTTTCTTAGTGATGCACATTCATTTGACAAAAACAAATATAATCATTCTGTTTAAGTATATTTGGAGATATAAAACTGCAATGAATGGGAGTATGATTATAGTGTCAAAAGTGCATATACATATGAGACATATAAGAAAAATCTTGTAAGTAATGAGGTGGTAATAAAATCACTAAACTCTACAGATCTCTTTGGATCACCCGTTGGTAAGGATATAAAATAAAGCTGTCAAATATTTTCTTGGATCACTTGTATAACTATTAAATAGTTACTTTTTTCTTGGATCACTTGAAATTCTACACCAGTATTCATCTCTTCAAATGATGTGTATTTTCTCGAGATTTAAATTCTGGTTTAGTTTTCTTAAAATATTCTGTACTAAAATAATTTGTAAATTATTTCAAAACGTACATAATGATTAGTGAGTCAATGCCACTCCATTATTTCTCAAGATCACTGTCAAAAAAACTATTGAAGTGATTTGGTTGTAAATAAAAACAAGCAAGAGGTGTTTTGGTAGTAAACAAAAAGAAGCAAAAGGTGTTCTGATTGGCTTCTCAACACACTCTGAAAGTTAGTGTTTCTGTCTTGTAATGGAGCAGATTCCACTTTAGATGTTTAGTTAGTGGAGCATATTGAATTAGTAGGTGAAACTTAAGTGTTCTTGTACTAACCATTACTGATAGTCATACATTTCATAAACTAAAACATGAATTATTTTATGTAGGTATAGACAATGAAATGACCAATAATGACCAACATGAATTATTTTATGAAATGTATGACTATCAATAATGGTTACTAAAACTCTCATTTGCTAATTATGTTTTTCTTTTTGGCTAAAAATATGTTTTCATTTGCATAGACAACATTTGCTAGAAAAATTTGGATTACTTTTATGAAGAGAAAATAATAATCTGGAATATATATATATATAATATTAATGTAACAGGCTTTTATTTACATAAAATGGCACTTTTTATTTAGCTAACAAAACTGGCAAGGCCATGGATGCCAAACTTTACAATGTAAGCTTCAATCAACATTTTTTTCCTCTCCATCCATGGAAACCTTTTCAGAAATCTATTCACCAAGAACCCTAAGTAACTTAAATCTGTAAAAACACACTGTAACTTCATCTTTCAGAGTGTAAACTAGAGCTTATCTCTCCCCAATGATGAAGTCATCTTATTCAAATGACTCTCAATGGTTCATCTAACAGCTGCAGACATTCTTGTGGGTTTGCGTAGAAGTAGTCCTCTTCCTTCGGTTTATTAGGAATCACTAACCGTCTCTTAGGGCTTCCCATACGAGTAGAGTGAAACGCCTTTACCATGGAAGAGAACACATCCCAAGTCAACAATCCTTGGTTATATTCATCTATCAACTTAACTAGGAACTTCCTATTCAGCTGAATTGTCTTCTTAAATCCCAAGAACCTGTAGAAAAAATAATGTCAGCCTCAGGATGATATAAGATAGGAGAAGAAAGATAAGGACATCTCACCTGCGATGACCTTCAACGACTCTCGCCATGTTCCCATCATTAGTTGGAACAAATATATCGCTCTCAACAGCCACTAGGTAATCAAGTGCAGCCATTTGAGATGAATGGTTCCGACAAAAATCAAGATCAGAGGAATCAAGTAGCGTTTCTTTCCGGACCTGTTATGGTAATGGAGTCAATGGAAGATATAAGTTCGATAAAACTGCAGAAAATGAAATGACTACTTACCACATTTGGAAATGCGTCTGTTAAAGCCTTCATCCGCCTCTCACCACCGTAGATCTCTCCAGCAGCTATGTAAAGTTGAACGTTACGGTCAATGCCCAAAGCAGTAAGCGTGAGAGCAGTTTCCTCGGGTGTTAAAGGGCAAAGGCCTTCCTTCCTCTTCACCTCAGAGTTTATAACTTTCTCTTTCCACCATGGATAAGCATATCTACCAGCAAAGATAACTTACATCAATATCAAATTTCGAACAAAAGAAAGATTTAATATTCTGGGTTTTTTGTACCTCATTCTTGTTAGTTCTTCTTCTTCCTCAGGGTTGCAACCATGTGAGCAGCCGGAAAATGCTAACATATCCATCTCGTATCTGAGATGGAGAACGAGAAAGGGTCCTTTCTCTCTCAGAATCTTGACCACTCGTCTACCTAATTCTTCAATTTGAGGAGTAAACTTAAGCGCATTGAAATTCACTCTGCACCTCAGCTTCTGAACCTCCAGAGGCAGTCCATTATTAGCGAGTCTTGAATCTGTTTTGTTAAGGTGTAACACCTTGTGCTTCTTAACCAGTGGAAGAATCTGTTTCCGGTTTTGAGAATTTAGGTACAAGAAGCAAAACTAATCTGAAAAAAAAAGTATCAGAACGTAGAAATAATAACCTGATTTTGGTAGTAAGACATGTTTGACCAGCTAATAGGAGGCATTTCGTGGTACATTCCAAGCTCAACTCTTTTCTTAATCCTTGGAGGCAACTGTTTAAGTATTCGAACTTCATCCCTTAACGAAGTTATGAAGTGATCCACATCGAATATGTCTTTAAACTCACTGCCCATAATAAGAAAATAAAATTAATTGATCGCTGGGTCAAAAACAGAGATTCAAGTGATATGTGTTGACAGACATACCTTGGATCGTTCCAAAACGAGGTCTTGTCAAGCTCAGGCACAACAAGTGTGACATTCATGTATCTTGCAACAGTCACCATATCGCATATCTGTAGAAAGCAGACCACAAAGAAAGTAAGCAAAAGATATCACCAAGATGAAACTTTTTGCACATAAAAGTAATTTCTTATCTTACAGCTGCTCGCATTTGATTGAGTCCTCCATTGCAGGAAACCATAAGATAACCATTGTTGTGATATACCCCTGAAAAAACAAAAGATTAGTTTCAAGATTCACTCCAAGTTAGCTACATTATTACACTCACAAGCTTCACCACTTACTTTTAGGCGGAAGGGCGATCTTAGTAGGGAGAGACCTCATCTCTGCAACAGTGGACAGTTCATGCTGATTAAAACAAGATGGCCAACCTTTGAACAATCTCGGTCCCCACATCTCTCCCAAAGCCATCAAATGAACGCAACAACTCCAAAGCAACAATATGGTAACAGCACGAATCATCCACAGGCTCGTACGAGACCTAGAAACAAAGGAGTTCCTAAGTTTCTCAACCTTAGTCTCTCCTAAAAGCCTAACCTTCATCTCCCAGAGTTTCCTATGGTAAAGAAACTTATCCATTTTACACATGTCGGTTTTGTTTCTTCCCAAATCACCTAACTACCCCCTTTCTTCTCACAGAGATTCTCTCAGAGACATTTCATCGAACACTTAATGGGCTTCTCTGTGAGCATTAACCACACCTCCAAAAAAACTATTTTTTCTAAGTACCCACGATCGTCGTGTCTTAAACTGACGAAACCCAGATCTTGCTCGATTAAATTAAAGATAAAAAAAAAATAAAAGAGGAAGCTTTAGGTTTAAAAATGAAAACTTTCGAACAAGTGATGAAGGCAACACTTCAAGTTACAGAGACAATGAGAGAAGTCTTTGAAATTCAGCAATGGTGTTTCGACCCTTTTAAAATCAAAAGTTAGCCGTAGAAAAATAAAATGCGTTGATTTAATTGGTCGATGAGATTCTCCGTTCAGAGATCACCGGAGAAGAGAGAGAGAGAGAGAGAGAGTATGGTTTCTTCTAGTATGTACCAAGGAAGGAAGGGAGGAAATTAAAAAGAACGGTCTTTTAGGTCTTTTCTATTTCGTCGGCGAACAACTGTTATTTATAGTGTTTTTTTTTCTTATAAACGAAATAAAAGTGTTTGTGGTTTTTTTTTTTTTTTTTTGATACAAAGCCAAAGTAGAACTTTAATTAAGTAAACTTATAATAAATTATATTATATGCACGCACTCATTGTATTTTGGATTAATAAATAAAAAAAAATATATAGTTGCTATTCTTTATGTTCTAGTATAATATTATATGTTTTAGTTAAAAGCATGATATTATTAATAATATAAATGTGAAATACATGAATTAATCGTTAACAATACAGTAAAAATATTGATTTTTAATATAGTTAAACTATCTTAAAAATATCAAAACATTTTATATTTTGAAATGTCAAATTTTCTCTAAAACATTTTGTATTTGGTATGAAAGAAATATTTATTTTGTTTTCACTCATATCTAAACCACATTAGCGGCCTACTAATTAATAATGTCGTTAAGCAAACCTAATCACGAAGTTAACCGTCAAAAGTATTAACAAAACAATGTCTGAACTGACAACTTACAATAATCAAATGTGTAGTAAACTTAAGGTGCTCTGATCTGGTCCAAAATCTGAAAACTAATCAATTTCAATATACATTTTAATTTTATTTATATGACCCAATGCGTATATATGTATCTAGTAAGATAACTATATACAATTGTTATAAAAATGGCATATTCTAGACTTGTGGGTCTCTCACTTATGACATGACATGATCCATTGGACAGTGAGAGATAAATTAAAATAGGTCTACAGTATGTATAATAAAATAAATATGTAAATTAACCAACTCTATTTACTGTTCGCAGTTGTCATTTGTCAATCCAGTATGAATGATATAAGAATTGGTGGAATTGTAAAAGAATTCAACAATTTGAATAAATCATGAAACTATACAACAATTTTTTTGAGAGCTAAAATTTATACTTATACAACAACTTAAACTAAATTGCTACCTTGATTTCAACCGAAGCATGGTATAGATCTCCCCCCCAACCGAATGAATTATCATTTTTAACATTATAATATCCAAGATTTCGAAAATGCATGTGTACATTTTAGGAACATATTATATAATCTGAGACAAGAAGATGGGTAGCATATTTTATTTTTATTTGTTTAAAAGGAATTTTTTCTTTTGAAGAGATTTAGTGATACTTAGGAATTAATATGTTTCGTTTTGAAACCAAGTAATAAACATAGATAGATAGATAAATATACATCTCAATCTTTTTAAAAAGCGCCCATTAATAGAACTATGTTAACATGTTTTTGAACTGGAAATTTTATTTGATGTTGTAACTGGATCACCATTTCGTCTTGCTCGAGATGGTTTGTTTTACTGTAGGTTAGGATCATGTAGTTTAACTAACTGTCAATTAATAGTTTTTAAATACGCTACATAGTAACAAATTGTCAAGTTTCCCTTTTTTTGTAACACTGTCAATTATCCCTTTTAAAATACAAAACAAACTTATTACTAAAAACTTATATTCGAATATATTTAGTAACCAAGAACATCAATAATATATATATAGGGGATAATACACAGTCCGACAAGTAAATGTATATTCGAAACTTAGAGCCGACTTTTGTTTTTAATGTAACTTAGAAGGGGAAACATAAATGTAAATGATTTTATTAATTATTTTCAGTCTCTCTATTAATTTTCTATGTTTTTAACAAGCTTTATCGTTTTATAAAAAGTACTATACTATACGAAATCATTAACCACAGTTTAGTTACAGCGGCAGATTACTTAAAGCAACGATCTCTCGGTCAGATTGTCGACAATGAAAGATCAACTTTATCATTTAAAAACATATGTGACGACAATTTCTAAAGAAGAGGAATGTGTACACGTGTAGATATGAAGTTAATGAGCATTGAACGTGTTACAAGTAAAACTCACGATTACATCAATAAATAAATAACAATATATAGATGCAGTTCGGGTATAAAATCTCGATCAGTCTCCTTCTTGTTTGCTATTCAAAAACGACAGTTAATTATGATATATTGATACAAAATTCGTTTAGTTAACATCGACTGATATACATGTACATATTCTTTTTTTGGTTTAAGGCTTACGGTACATAATGCACATGCATATAATACAACAAGCTAAAAATAATAGCGTTATGTGTACCGTAAGCTTGTTGAGTTTAGATCGTCCGAATGTATATTATTTAGCTGAGAGAGGGACAATAAAAACAATCTGGAGTATAATAAAACCATGCATATTTCTCGGACTGAAAATTCTAACATAGTGATAACTGATAAGTCTAGTTTTCATTATTACTATACGTACTGAAATAGTAGTATATTACTTGGTAAATGAGTCATAACTATATATATTAACCAAGAACCATTAAAAGAAAATAAAAACTACCATTTAAAGAGACATTGAGATATATATACAATATGATCAAATGTCAATATTGAGCTGCATCCCTGCATCTTCTAACAACATTACGTGCGTGAGCTACATAGAACATCTATAGCACCTTTTTTTTGTCAAGCTTCATAAACTAAAACGAAACCATGCATTTAAGTTGTATACTAATAATTTACATGTTAAGTACAGATCTTGGTACACTCATCTTTCGAATAGTTGTGAAATAAATGTGAACTGAAGTAGGTGTTTGGTCTTAGTTTGTCGAAGTCTCATTATGAGATGCGATGTTTTGTATAAAACTTTAGAACCAACGAATTAAGATTAAACACATGAAAGTATATGCTATTTTTCTGTGACCATATGCATTCCACCGACACCGGTCATTACATTGCTGTCGGATTTGATTATTTAGTTTGCTTTTAAAAGAATACATCTTTCCAATGTGAAATACATGATTTTAGACATTTTTTTTCTATAAGTATTTGTTGTAATTGTCATTTTATATCAGATGTTAACAAACAGAGGGAAAAACGTGTAAAGTTCCCCGGCTTAATTAAACAAGTCGTTCTTTTTTTTCTTCTTTTGCTAAATTGTAAATATTATTAACTGAGTAATGAAAGTTTGATTACAATAGAAATTGAAATCATAGATTGCTCAAAGAGCTGATCTGATCCTAGAGACAGCAAAAAAGGTAAAAGAACCTATAGCATCCATAAAAGATCTAAGAGCATCTTTAACCCTTATTGCTTAGAGAGTTGTTTAATTAAACAATTTTCACACTCTCTCTCTTCAAAATAAGTACCCCTCTCCCTCTAAGCAACTCTCTAAGCAACATGGGTTAAAGGTGCTCTAAGGATTTAGTTGTAGTTTTCAAGCATTTAACATGTTATGGGACATTTTTTCCCCCATGGTCACGAGTAAATAAAAAAAAAATCGATGTGAAGATAAGTAACACGTAGAACTAGAATATTTAGTTGACAAGGGAATTAACAATAATATGGCTATGAAACTCTGTGTCGGTGGCTCGATTGTCTTCAGTCTTCACATTTCAAGCCTATGCATGCGCGTGCGTGTAGCCGTGTAGTATATATGTCCAAGCCAACCTGTGCATTCGATTCGATTTTTCTTTTTAATCATCGAGCTAGTAAATTATATATATATTATATCCAAAGAAAATGTGGAGTACATACATTATCAGTTTTCTATACATTTTCTCTCCTCTTTCTTATTCTAGGATAATAAAGGTGGAGCATTTAAATAACACTACATTCTTTTACAAATATAGCACAAATAGCATAATTATATGAAGATATTTCTCTACCAAACATTATGTATGAGTTTTCAGTTTAAAAAATTTAGATTTATTTCTCCATAGAAAAACGACTTTGAATCATTTTAAAACTAAATTTATGATATTATCAAGAAAATATATATTAGTAATGCTTAGATTTTTTTTTCTTTTCTAAATGTGATCTACAACAGTATCAACAAAAACATGGGCTTATATGCACATAAAATAAAGGAACAAAACCCAAATCCCTAGGACTAACTTTAGCCCAATTTGTAAATTGGGCCTTAGAGGCACCACAACTTCTTCTACCCTCGATTAGGGTTTTTGATCTTTTATCCTCTGCCTCTGGGTTTCTGTTTTTTTTTTGTTTCTGCTCATAAACATCACATCCTTGCTCAGCGCCGAACTCTCTTACTTAATCTCCCTCTCATCCCTCACAGGTATTCGAATTTACTCTTATAAACCAGTATTATTATTTAGTAAGTTGTGACTAAGAAGAAACCCTAATTTTTCTGACATAGTTTGCATTACCATCAGAGCAGTCACCGATGAGGAAGCTCAAGTACCATGAGAAGAAGATTCTGAAGAAAACAAACTTCTTGGAATGGAAAAGAGAAGGTGGACATCGAGAGATCCTCATCACGAGTCGTTTCCACATGGGTGGTCGTGATGATTACAAAAAGTTCGTTTCTTTTAATTTTGTTCTGTTCTGTTCCTGTCTTTATTGTAATGAATAATTGTTTTTTTCTGATTATTGTTTTTTTTGGGGGGTTCAGATATTCAGGGTTGTGTAGGATGGTGCAGAAGCTGACTAATGTAATGAAACAGATGGATCCTACTGATCCTTTTCGGATTCAGATGACTGATACGCTCCTTGAGAAACTGTGAGTTTGTGAAATTATAGAGCTTTGTATTGGTTCTGTTAGATTTATTAATATAGCTCTGGGAGGTCATTTTAGAGACAGCTTAAAGTGGTTTAGTAGCTTCGGTTTAGATTTTAGAACCGTTGGTTTGGAATCTTCTACTTACTAATGTGTACAAGGCTACAAGCACTAGCTAGCTCTCCGTTTCCTCTAGAGAGAGTTATCCTTTGAACGAGAGAGTTATCCTTTGTCTGCAGCTGTTTCATCCATCTTTGCTATCTTCTTCTTATAATATAGCTCTCTAGATGGTCATATTAGAGACTGTTGGTGGTGAATCTGATTAATATTTACCTTAGAGGTAGATGAATTTGGGTTCGTACTTTATTAGCGTCGGTATTGATCTTAAGACCTTTGGTTTGAAATTTCTTAGAGGTTGAATGTCATCCTGGTTCTAATGGTTTTCTGGTTAACGAACTTGAAGAAACCAGTCATGTCCAGATCCTTACAAATTCGGTTTTGTTTGTTCAGTAGTTTCTTTGTAGAGCTAAGTTACTGTAGAATGTAACCATAGATATAGAAGTCTGATTCTTTGTAGTGAAAAGACCATTCTACTGATTCTACTATGCTATGAGAAAGACTTGTTTTTTGTAATTTAATAACTGGTGCTTATGTTTCTTCCGTGTATGGACAGATACAACATGGGCGTTATACCGACTAGGAAAAGCTTGGCTTTAACTGATAAGCTCTCAGTTTCGTCCTTCTGCAGGTAATGGTTTCGATTCTTTCTTCACTTTAGAGAGCCACCAATGATGATCTCATTGAAAGTTTATTAAATTATTGCAGGCGTAGGCTATCGACAGTTCTGGTTCACCTGAAGTTCGTAGAGCACTTGTCAGAAGCAGTGACGTATATAGAGCAAGGACACATCCGCGTTGGACCAGACACAATCACCGATCCAGCTTTCTTGGTAACTAGGAACATGGAAGATTTCATCACTTGGGTTGATTCTTCCAAGATTAGACGCAAGGTTCTTCAGTACAATGACAAATTGGATGACTATGACATGCTTACCTAAATCTTTTGGGAGGAGATTAAACAAAAACTGTTTTATTTTTATTCTTGTTTTGTAAAAGCCAAGAGAAAGGATCAGTACTTTTATTTATGCAAGGTTTGGATTTACGATTGGTATCTTAACGTTCTGCCAAGTCAAAAACCTCTCTGCTGAATGTCAATGCTGTTGAAGCACTCCTCAAGGTCTTGCTAATTATCAATTGGTTTGAGTTTTAGATTAACTGATGAAGAGATGTTTAAAACTCGGTGATCAGAGCATTCTTTAGGTGAAATCTTTGAAAGAATGGAACAGATTGTTGGTAAGATCCTCGGAGAGAGTTTCTGCAGTAGAAACATAACATTCTTTATGGAATGTTAAGGAGTTTCCTAAAGGTTTCAAACCGTGTTTTGGTTTTGGTGTCAGTGCTCTTGGGAGAATCTCAAAACCAATTTGCCTCGAAGTTCTTTAGTTGAAGAACTATATTGGAATTAACATTTCAAGAGAGAAGAGAACGAAAAAATGGGCTGTGTTTCTTCTTGCTCTCGGGTTGAAGACTATGAGGATCACACGAATCCAAGTAGTTCTGTTAATAGAAACTGCCCAATGTCCTAGATGTCTTGTCAATAACATTTAACCTGATAATGTTCTCCTCACAAGAGTGTTTACTTTGGTACTACTACGTTCTTGAATCAGCTCTGGATTTTGATCTCTCGTTTTTGCAGTATATCTCTTTGTTCAGAAGAGGCGAAACCCGCTCTCTCCCATCCTCTTTACAAGCTACTACTGTATCCATAACTTCCTATGATAACTTTGTGTCTAACACATTCCACTCTACTCCAAGGCCTCTGCCTTATGATACTGATACATCTTCAATCAATGCATTTGAAGAAAGCTGTATTTTCTTGGTTTTTTCTTTTCTTTGCAGAATACACATCAGAGAATCCGAAGATTGTTACAAAGTGTTCTCACCATTACCACCTGAGTTGCATTTATGAATGGATGGAGAGAAGCGAAGACTGTCCTGTTCTGTGAATTACTGTTTAGTTACAACATATTTTTGTACATAGAATGATGGAGAAGTGAGGAAATGTCCGCTCTGCACAGTTAGCTTATGGAGTTATGAAGAAACTTTCACACCAACAGCAAAGCACTCACAGTAATCTGATGTTTTTCACAGCATGCCTCTTGGTGCAGCGTTCTGCCCAAAGCATTAAATTTTTAACATTATCTTTTATGAATTACATAACCCTTTTATCAATATGTGATATTTATAAATTTAGCATTGAGGTTTACATTGGTTCAAGGAGAGATCACCACTCTAAATTTTTCTCATTGCACTGTTGCAGTACTTTTATAATAATTAAGTTAGGTTCAATGGTATATCAAGTTCCACATATAGCAATCCTTAACAGAGCAAGGTTTCCCAAAATACACAAACATCACATATACTTATGCCTACAAATCCAAGTCTTGTGTCTACACTTTTTTATATATAAAACAGATCTTTTGCTGGCGAGGTTGATCACATGACTCTCAGAGCATCCAGTCTGGGATGTAACCGGACTGTGTCTGAGCTTGTGTTGTTGCAGTTATCTGCTCCGAGCATACTGGATTGTCATACCTGCAATCATCATCATCACCACTGTAAGTAACGTCAACAATATACATCGATCTTAATACAAAGCAGCTAAAGAACCTTAAACAAAGACAATCTCAGTAGAAAAGTACACAAGCTGGTTTGCAGATTATATTTCAAGGCAGAGATCATAAGGAACTTACCCCATCTGCAGAGTTGGATTGCATTCAAGAGGCTGGAATAGTCCTTGAGTCTGAGCTTGATGATGAGCATAGGAAACGTTATGTTCGTTGCCTTCCCATCCTCCTCCCATGTGATGACTTCTCACACCAATCATATCATCCAGCTACACATTTACAATTTTGCACCAAATGAAAATGACTCTAATCAGAAGCAAGAAATTTAGAGATTTTGCCAAAATGTTGAGAACAAACTTTACCTTCATAGCCAAAGCTCTATTGGTTTCAAGCAACATTTGCTCTTTGTTTTGAAGATCAGAGAGCTGGTCAAGCATGTACTGTGTCTGTAACAATCACATATAGTAGTCATAATTAAACATCACACACTAATCTTATTTGAATCATTCCATGTTTATGTATATATATAACTTCAGATAGGTTATGATATGACCTTGATGGAGCGAACTTGCTTGAGAGAGCCATCTAATTGACGCTCAATTTGCTCTAGTTCTTTTGAATTTAAAGGTCCTAAGTCCTCTCCAAGAAGATTTCTGCATCAACAAATACACATATATATACACATGAATGTGAATGGCATATGTGTATACAGTCCTGTATATGTAGAGAGATGTACCTTTGTTGACGCTGAAGTCCCTCATATCTACCCTTCAGCTTAAGATACTCTCTGTAGCTATTCTGAAATTTCAAAGGAAAAGTAGGTTATTGAAATGGTATGATACAAATCTAGAATCTAAAGAGGGCACCTCAAGTTCTTTGGCAGGTTTGTTGTTGACTTCAATAGAACCATAACTGCATTTCTGGTACCGTTCCAGTGTCTTGATCATGCTGAACCAAAACCACAAAAAATAAGAGGATAAGAATTTGCAATCAAGAAGAGCATACTTGACATAGGACACAAACCAAACTCATCATAAACTAGACATGTAAGTTAATTTACCTCTATCTATATACTTGAGCTCCTCAAGTTTTTAATCAAGTTTTTTCTTATCAAATTTTCATGTTATTCTCATTAGTCTATCACTAGTTATACAAAGGATTTTTTTTTTTTTTGTTCCATAGTTTTAAGTTAGGATATGAATTTACAAGTAACAAAACTATTATTTGCAAGCATGATCTCTAATTTCATTGACGAATACAATACTTTTGATAAAAGAATTTAATTTTTCAGTTTTCCTTGAGTGCAATCAAACTAATTAACATATAGACAAAAAAAATGAAGAAAAGAAGAGAATCAAAACCTTCATAGATACACACACGTTTTAAGTATTAACCACCATAAAGTATGTACTAACAGTTGGTTAATGCATGGAACCATATATTATCATTCTACGTTGGATCTTTATTTCCATAGATACCTGTGTATCCAACTTTTAAGTTTCAAACACATAAACATTTAATTAATATCTTGGTATATATATCTTTAAATTTACACTATATAATGATAAATCATAAACTCATTGCAAACATCAAATTAGCTTAAAATCTTTGACAAGAATAAAAAGAGAAACCAGATCTCAAAATTCAAGAACGTAAAACTAAATAGCCACAAAGAAATCAAGAAATTAATATAATTAAGCTAGACAAGTTCAGAGAAATCAAAGATCCTGTGATCTACTCAAACAAGTTCGATCAGACAAAGATCTAAGCTCAGATCTAGCAAAAAAAAAAAAAAAAAATGAAAAGAGAGAGAGAGATTTACTTTGAGGAGCTGCAAAACTCATAGAGCTTGCCACGGTTAGAGAAGATGATGAGAGCAACCTCAGCATCACAAAGAACAGACAATTCATAAGCTTTCTTCAACAAACCATTCCTACGCTTTGCAAACGTTACTTGTCTGTTTATCTTGTTCTCTATCCTCTTTAGCTCTACTCTTCCTCTTCCCATTTTTTTCTTGCTCTATATAGTTTCCTCTTATATATATATATGCACACAAATTTGGTATGTAATTGTTTATCTATATACAAACACACAAAAAAAAAATCTGAGATCTGGTCTTTTTTGTTCTTTAGGGATCTTGAAAAGAAAATAAGCCCTAGCTAATTTCAAGAACAAGGTAGTACCATAAGGAAGAAGAAACTTTTGGAAGCTAAAGATAAGAAAACTGTGAAGGTGAGGTTAGGGTTTGGTGTATTCTCATTTCAAGTCATCTCTCTTTTGACAAAAAAATAAACTCCACACGCTCTCTAAGCGCGTGTTTCGTATGGTTCTAGTTCATTCAATTTACCACAGTCGATTTATCTCCAACATAATTCCTAATTTTCACAACTTTTAGGGAAAATATTGTGAGTTGTGTGTAATGATTTAGTTAGAAAATCTATGTGTGCTTCTCTTCAGGTAGAATTCATGTCTATTTATATATGGTGGCTACTATTTTTTGCAATTATACAAATATATCTAATCATATAATTTCTTTAATTTCTTTAGAAAAAAATAAAATTTGTTTTATGTTTAGTTATAAATAACGCAACAACTTTTTCGAAAACGTATCACTTTTGATCGATGGTTGACCAGTAACTAAACACATGAGGAGGCTTAAAGGTTATATCAATTAACATGTGTTTATACGGTCTTGCATTATCACATTTAGAAAGTCAATTCAAAACAGTATATACTAAGAAAGTTTGTATATCGTATCGTATGCTATATGTACATTTGAGGATACATTCTTACGTGGTGAATACTAGAAAATTTGCTTACAAAATTACAGTTCTGATTGTTACTGATATTTTTGTGTTCAAAAGAAAAAAAGATTGTTATTGATATTTTTGAACTTTCACATTAAATAGTCAGTTCCAATAAGAAATCGACACGTGCAGACCCATTTTAAGGTAGGAGATGCTTTTCTGCTGCTTCTGAAAACAACCAGAAAATGATATATGATACGTTGCTTTCACTTAATTGCATAAAATTATTATGGCAATATCACGGGCTTCATTTCTACAACTTGCATAATTATGCTTATTAGATTATGATTATGAAGTTTGGAGACTCTAGTAAATTAACTAATTGACCTACGTGCAGTATATACATTATTAATTCAAGTTTCTGTGTGAAAATTGAAATCATTATACGTCTACATAGATAATATTACTTAGCTTACTTCTTATTATGATTTATACCATCGTTTATGCTTAGCTAATTCACATTTATCATATACATCTTTTTTGTTAATATCACTTAAATATTCAAAGTGTTAAAGAATAAAGAAGGTTGTAACTCTCATAGTATTATTAATCACGTGGTTACATATATATATATACATACAAGAGAATAAAGCATATTCCTTAGGAGATAAGGATTGCTACAAATAAAGGGGATGATTATCCTAATCCTATAATGATTAGGATATCTACAACATATGGATAAATACAAGGGAGGATAATGACAAG